ATCGGGCAAAGAATAGCTGGGCTACGTCAAAAGTCAAAGACTAGGTAACGTTTTAGACCTACATAGAAAGTCTAAAAAAGACGGTACTTGTTTCTGTGATTGAGAGGAGCTAACCGCGGTAGCAGTAAAAGCTGAAAAGAATAAAATTCTTCGTGACTTCAAAAAGAATAAGTGATTTGCTGGAGCCATAGAAATCCACCACAAAGAACAAATCAATCCGCAACGCATCTGAGCAGGACTTTTTGCTACTGCATTTTTGAGTGTGCTTCCTTTTTGCCGCGTACGATGCGGTTCTCGTTCCATCCTTTACTGCTCCTAATCCGCTTCTAGTAAAAAGTTCCTGTCTTTATTTCCCGCTTTAGTATTTCTAAGTGATAAGGCAAGCGATTTGCAACCACGTAAAGTTGGAGAATGGAAGCGCATACTTTCCGCCTGGAGTGATGTGGCAGTGCCCAACAAAACAGTGGTTGATTTGCACGATCTTACTGACTCGTTTTGAAATCAATGTCTTTTTAATTTTTTTCGTCTCTCGTGCGCTCTTCGCGGCGCTTGCCAATTTATCTTGGTTTTTTCTTAAGAGGAACGGAAACTGTAATCTCGGCTATAAAATGTGAAGTTGGCATTAAACTCAACTTTCATGCTTCGCAGGTGACAGGCTTAAAAGGTGAACTAAAGTGATGCTGTAAACTGGTAACAGTTGCTTTGGCCTCTCTGGCAAGATCACAAACGTTTCTAGCGCATTGGAAACAGACTGCTGCTCAAGAATGCCTCTATAGGAAATTTGTAGAAACGGTCTCTAACGACGAGTTAGCTTTGGTTACGCGGACCTAAATATTGGTCGGAACAAATTTTGCTACGCAGTTGGGAATGGTTTGAACATTTTCATTTAAAGTGCATTTACGCGACTTTCAAATTGTGAGAAGAACCGATGTTAAAGAAGAATACTGGAAAAAACCTGTGCGCCAATTTTAATTGTTACCCTACTGAAATAGACAACAACTGTAGGAACTAATTCTTCTATAACATATTGGAACAGAGTTTGAGATAACAAACATAAATAAATTTTACTCTACCGGATTTAGAGCACAACTTACAAAGAGACAAGAAACAGAAGAAACAAAAGAGACGCACGATAAAACACTGAGACTGGCGCAAGACAAAAGCGAAAAAGAGAAAACCAAAAAAGAACAACAAAATAATCCAAAAACCCATAACTAATAAAAATACTTACCTCAAGATTCTTGAAAGGATTTACAGGAAAATTACAGAAGTTTCTATGCTATTAGGAAATCAGGCCAGTAGCACCAAACCTCACCAATGAGCGTATTTACCTAAAATGCTAATTAAGCATGTTTTGCACTTTCTTATAAGCAGGTTCTTTGGCACTTGCATCTCACAGAGTCGGAATCGTACTGTTTTTTTTTT